GGGTGTGTGGCTGAGCTGAATGGACACATGGAGCAGCGGCTGGGGAGTGTGCATGCTCGGGTGCCCCCATAGTAAGCTGGCACCTCGGGGGCACCCGACAGGAGGGTGGGGTCAGAAAGGTCGGCAGGGGACCTGAAAAGTGGAGGATCCAGGCTGCTCTGTGCAAAACCACTACACACAGCAGGTAAGTATAGGCATTTTTTTTTTTTTAAAGATAAGTTCACCTTTTGGAGTAAAATAATAAATGCACATTTCTTTTTGCAGGTAAAAAAAATGTGCATTTATTATTTTTGTACAAAGGAGACTGGAAAGCATTGCACCAGCGATCAGTAGATCGCTAATGCCATGCAGATCTTCTGCAGACCTGTCAGAATATCTGCTTGCCATATTCTGCTAGGAAAATTCAATGAGCTACCACAGCTACCACATTGACGTGGTAGTACATTGAAAACTACAAGCCCACAGCCGCTAAGGCTGCCGGGACTTGCAGTTCATTCATTTATGGAAGTCCATGAATGAATGACGTGGCCGTGCGGGACAGATTTGTTGTCAAATCTGACAGATAGTACGAGGAAACGTCTCCCCGTATTATCTGTCGGGGGGGGGGGGGGGGGGGGTGTAACATATTCCCAAAGGTGAACATATTCTTTAGATGTAAGCCTTTAGAATCACTTTAAGCTTTGGCAATAAAACCTGGTAGCTGATTTCTATGCAATGCTGCACCAGGTTTTGAGCTCTCCAATTTTGCGAACTAACCTCCAATGAACTAACCTCCAATGAGTATAACGAGGGGCTGTTTTTTGGAAAAAGATCATATCCAGGATAGTTAGAAGGAGCTTCTGTAACCCTCAAAAGCTACCCAATGTCACCTTTAAAACCTCAAAGAACCACCTTAATTTCTACTTCCTAACTGACTCCAATGCATCTCACCAAAATGTTGACATTTTTGGTAAATGAAAACTCTTGGTTTTGCTCATCCCTCGTCTACACAAAGCAGTCTGTTGCTTTTTATTGCCATCTTGTTAGGTGACTTCTATTTGATGGCTTCTATAAGACCTTTTTGTTTCTTGTTTCAATAAATTTCTTCTTTTTTAAATAAGCTTTTGCTTATTTAGAATCATACTTGTATGGTCTTGTGTACTTACATTGCAATGAGAGGTAAATGACTGGGCAAAGTGTGATTAATTATGTCTACAGCCAATTCATCATAAAAAAGGAAGCAAGTAGGATTACTTTTATTTTTAAGAAAGGCAATCATTAATCCTCTTGTCCCCTGCTTGCATGACTGAATTAATGGTCCCTCTGTGTCAGAATCTGATGCTACATGACTGCAGGAAGCATTAACATTCCAAGTAAAATGGCACATAAAGTACACATGAGAAGTAAAAAAAAAGATGAATATTATTTTTGCTGAATAATTTCTTTAAATGATGTTAGAGAGGTGTGTTACATGTTTGTGCAGGCCTGGACACATCTCTAGAGACAGGTATCAAGAGCACATAACACCTGATCCTTATCCTTTTTTTGCTCATAGCACGGAAAGAAGTCTCTACCTCTTGTATTTTACTGCAAGGTCCTATTTAAAAAAAGACTTCCAGCCTTCCATTCAGTCTTGCACAGTTGTACCACCTCCTCTCCTGTACTGAAGTTGCTTATCTGATGTTATGGCATATTGTGAGCTTCTCACAATGGCGTCCTTTTATGAAACTGAGATCAGCAGAGATCCTGTGGATCGTTACTGATCTCCGATCATTAGTGGTTTAAGAAACAGAGATGATCAGTGGAGAACATGTTCTCCGCTGATCATCTCAGCACACAGATGGCTAGTATATGAAGGACCGACATCAGCCCTTCACTGGAGATCTATGCTCTCCCTCCAGATTCTCCAGCCCAGAGCTGGAGAATCGGGAAACCGCAAACGAAAAGCAGCGATAATTTACCGCTGCTTAGTAAACGGTGTTTGACTGATCTCTTACTGTAATCTCACGAGATTATAGTAAAAGCAGCCATTTTCCAGCGTTTGAAAGGGTTTGTAGATCGCTTCTCCCTTCATTCGGAGAAGTGATCTACACCGCTTCATAAAAAGGCATTCAGAGAACTGTCTTCTCCGAGAATACCAGAGAACTGAGCAGCGGTCATTTACCGCTGCATGATAAAAGGACAGCAATGTGCATTAAAAAGTGCAGCAAGTCAGAATGAGCCCACTACATTTTGGTCTGGAGGTCATCTAGCAGTGTCTAACCCAATGTTTCTCAGCCAGGGTGGGGGGGCCATTTGGGTTCCCCTGAGGTGCAGTGAGCATGAGATCATGTTTGCCCTGGATCAGAGATGGATGAGGGGATGACTTTGTGATGGAGGGAGAATCTGATTTGATGGTGAGACTCTGATGTGTTGGGGGGACTTTGTTAAGGTAGCACCCTCTAATGTAAAGGGGATATTCTGATGTGGTGGGGGGGCTGTCATGTGTTGGAGGGCTTTGACTCTGTGATGGGGGGGACTCTGTGGTGATGGAGTGCCTCTGATGTATAGGGGGAACTTTGACTCTGACATCATGGGGAGACCTCTGACCTCATGGCTCCTCTGACCTGAAGGGGGCACTCTGGTGTGAAGTTAATTTTATGACAGTTAAAACTTTTCTTACATTTTAAACTGGGGTGCCTCAAGATTTTGCATACTTTTAAAGGGTGCCATGGCTGAAAAAAAGTCAAGAAACACTGATCTAGCCCTTTGCTCCCTAGCCTTAGTTTTCCTGGCCTGCCCATTTTATTCATTGGATTTTGGTTCTTTCAATTATGGAAGCTAAGCAACATATGTGGGCATTACATAAGGTAGTCTGTATGCAAATACATCCTGTCTAGGAATGCCCACTACTCCAAATGGACAGCCACCCATTAAAGGATACGATTCTGAACATATAATATGTTCATCATCCTCCCCTGAGTAGGGTTGCCACCCCATCCCTTTAAAACTGAACAAATATTAATTACACAGGTTCTGTGGCTGATTAAGGTGGTAATTAAACTCAGTGCTTTATCTGCATTATATTAGCTTCAGAACCTGTGTAATTAATATGTGTTTGGTTTTAAAGAGATGAGGTGGCAACCCTACCCCCTGATCCCCCCTTCCCTTGTGACAGGTGGGCAGGAGATCCTCACCCGGCACTCACTGTCACAATTTGAAAACAGTGCGGCTGTTCAGGGCTCCACCCACACAGCCGCATCATTCATTCACAGAATTCTGTGAATGAATGAACTATAAGTAATGTCTGCCACCACGGCTGACAGATTGTTGCTCTCAATGAACTTTGAGCGCTGATGAGCGCTTTCATAGCTCATTGATTCTTCCTGCTCTTCAGTAACTGTCTGCTCGTACATTAAGTACAGACAGATAGTTATACTGAGAGTCTGCAGGAGCCTGACATTGCACCGTGATCTGCTGATCTCAGGTTTAATGCTCTGCAGGCTCTTTAGAAAACAAATACTTGCAAATATTATACTTTTTTTTATGTGATTTTATCCTTTAAAGCATTTTATTATTTGCATGACTCCTCCCAAGAACCAGCCCACTGTTTGCATAAGGGATGGGGACTCTTGGTAGGAGCACTGAGGCAGGGTGCTCTGATGTTTTCAAGATGCTATGTACAGCACACTTCCAACCCCTTCCACCAGCCATGATGCCTGCATTTCATAGAGAAACACAAAGACTCAGTAATACCATCACTAGGGTTTAAAATAATAATAACCATCATCATTTAATGCAAAAAAAAAAATAAAGGTTTTAATAAAAGAATAAATTAACATGATGATGAGTGGTAAAGGAGGAGCCAGGGAAGGCAAAATGTGAGTAAATTAAATTTCTGGTTTATTTTCTTGGGTGAACAAGCTGCATTTTACAATATCAAGCCTCAGACTCCACATCATTTCAGAACCTTTATGATTGGGATTTTCAAGCAGGGATTTCTCGTTGTTTTTGTTTTAATTGAATTTTGTTGCTGTTTATATGCTTTTTTCTGCTACTATGTCATTGCATTGTGAACCGTTATGAAAGGATGATGAGCTGTACAGCATTCTATTCCCTGACCAATACCATCAACCATTTCACAATAAAAACATTCCTTTCCCGCATTGTTCCTCTGTCTCCTCACCTGCTATTGTTTTAGCCACTTTGCAGCAGCCAGGAGCCCCAGGTGCTGCATTTCAGATATATTAAGGCCGTGCATCACACAGGCTCCAATCAGCTCGATTCCGTGCAGCTTGGGAATTCAATTTAAATATCATTACATTTTGAGAAAAATGTGGAGAAAAAAGGAAAAGCATTAGAGTAAACTGTAATGAGAAATCAGGAAACTATAGACTCAATGAAACCAAAGCAAAGGAATGCATGTTGTGTCTTAAAATAGCCACATTTCTGAAGATAAGCCGTGATGTTATCATTTGCTTGTGTTAAATATGTATTTCTGAAAACAATTTTGACATGATTTTTGAATTTTACATGTCATAGTTCTCTGGATAAAAATGTATTTATGACATAAATAGCAAATCTTTTACACATTAAAAAAAAAAAAGTCAGCAGGCCAGCAATGTGAAAAATAAAAAGGCAGCTTTCATGATACTTACCTCCTATCTAGGGCTGTCCATTGCAGACTCTGCATCGGTCATCTTCTGCGTGGATTGATAGGTTATCTAACACGCTTCCTGTGACCCTATTACAGGTTGGGTCAAACTAGGGTATCCACCTCATCCCTTTAACCACTTGCCTACAGGGCACTTATACCCCCTTCCTGCCCAGGCCAATTTTCAGCTTTCAGTGCTGTTGCACTTTGAATGACAATTGTGCGGTCATGCAACATTGTACTCATATGAAATTTTTATCATTTTTTTTTTAGACAGATAGAGCTTTTTTTTTTGTGGTATTTAATCACCTCTGGGTTTTTTATTTTTTGCTAAATAAACCAAAAACAAAAATATTTTTTTTTAAATACCGTTTTTTCTTAGTTTCTGTTATAACATTTTGTAAATAAGTGATTTTTCCCCTTCACTGATGTGCGCTAATGAGGCTGCAGTGATGGGAACTGATAGGCTTCACTTTTGGGCACTGATATGTGGCACTGATGGGCACAGATGAGGAGGCACTGGTTGGTGACACTGATGGGCATTGACAGGCATCACTGATTGGCACTAAAAGGCAGCACTCATATATGGCACTGATAGGCAGCACTGATAGGCAGCACTGACTGGCACTGTTAGGTGGCACTGATAGGCGCACTAACTGGCACTGATAGGTGACACTGACTGGCAGCACTGACTGGCACTGATAGGTGGCACTGAAAGGCAGCTCAGCTGGGCACTGATATGTGGCATTGATGTGCACTGGTAGGCACTGATATGTGTGGCATTGATGTGGCACTGATGGGCACTGGCAGGTGGCATTGATAGGCAATGACAGGTGGCACTGATGGGGCTACACTGATCACGGCACACTGATGATCAGTGTACATGTCCCCTTTGAGTAATCCTCACGAGCTGTTAGCATGACAACTCGTAAGGAGAGGAATGCAGATAACCGGCATTTACTTATTTACATGCGATCAGCTGTGATTGGACACAGCCGATCACATGACAGAGCCAACGACATCGGCTCTTTCTGTTGATTGGTGATCCCCTGTGTCTAGCGCACAACGATCGCCGCACTGCTTGCCCCCGCGCGCACATGCAGTTAGAGTGGGAGGTCATATGATTTCCTTTATTTCCTTATATGGTGGGCGGGAGGCGGGTAAAACCGAACACATGTTAATTACACAGGTTCTGAGACTAATTTAATGCAGATAAGGCACTGAGTTCAATTTCCACCTTAATCAGCCACTGAACCTGTGTAATTGATATGTGTTTGGTTTTAAAGGGATGAGGCAGCATCCCTAGTCCAACTTAATTTCATCGTGGGCCACATCAGAGTTATGGTTGGCTTTAAAGGGCCAGTTGTATCTGTAAGACTAGATGCACCCCCCCCCATTACATCAGAAGAGTCCTCTGACCCTCCCTTACCTCACAAGAGAAGGTTGAGAGAGAGAGGAGAGCTTGCTCACCAATCCAGGTTGCAGAGGACACTGTTGTTGGCTGCCGTGCAGCCTCAGAGAAAGAGGCCTGCTGGGAACCACTGATTATGCTTCATATAAGGCCCTAAATATGAGTTGTGATATTGGAGAATTCATCCCAGTTGTTGAATCATTTTAACCAGTTTGAACTGTGAGTTTTAGGGGCAACCAGTCCACTTTTATTTAAACAAGATGAAAGTTCATCACAAACAGTGCCCACACAGGGGTTTCAGTTTCATACAGCACACAGGTTCAGATAAATAACACGCCACTTGGCTTTTTCTTCAGCAGCACCACTGCTCTTGCCACTGGTCCTTCAGACCTTCTTGCCAGCTCTCCTGCCTTTGAACTCTTCCCCGGCTCACTCAGTCTTTACAACTCCCTGCGGTACAGGTCCACCCCTGGTTTCCCGATAGGGGTTCCCCTGATGCCCCAGGCTCTCTCACACCTCTAAGACATACAGATTCCTGCAGTCCCCTGGAGTTGCATAGTTGCTTTCTCAGTCTCCCAGACTCTCTCAATTTCCCAGACTCGTGTAGCTGCCTCAGCACTCTCAGCCCAATGGACATGGAATCTCTCCAACATAGTGCTGACTCTTGAGTAGAGCACCTCTGTCTCCTGTCAGGATCACACACCTGTCTTCAAACAGGAGCACACCTCCTTCCCAGCTGAAGCCCTGTGCTTTACCTAAGCCTCGCTTGTAATGAGTGTGCACACCTGCACACTCACACAACCAGCGTGTCCACAGTAGGATTGAAGGTTTCGTCCCACCTAAGAAACTTTGAAGCTTTCAAGTTCCAGACCACAATCTGAGCTTACAAAACCCAGAAAGCTGTAAACAGTTTTCTCCACTCATAACACACACTCGGTAAACCACACATTTTATGGCTTGGATGTATGAATGCTGTAAAAACAGATTACTTACCAAAACTTTGATATGTTTTTCAGGCCATCCCATTCCCTCTCTTCGGGCTTCTTTATCTCTGTCAATAAATCTATCCATTCCTTCGTGTGGCATAACAAAAAACCCAAAATTAGAGAGTTTTTTCCCTTCCTGCCTAAGGTTAGGGGAGGAATTGGTTCTTTACCTAGAATAGTGGATTGGTACCAGCAGGTCAACTAAGTTATGGACTTACATTGAAGCTGATCTGGTCTCCCCATACCTTATCTCTTTACTTTGAACAGACCCTGCTTGTAGGCCCTTGAGAGACCTTTTGCCTACATTTGTTAATACCACTTTACTTATCTGGGATGATTGCTTGGGTAAGCGGATGCTGTCTTTGAGGCCGAGTACTCTGATGACTTTATTTGGCAATGCCTCCTTCCCTCTAACATTTACTAGTCCTGAATTCCTCTCCTGTTACCTCTTTCCCAGATTTTTTTCAAACTGTCATAACCCTTGAATGACATGGCTTGAATATAAGCCATTGTAAGATTACTTTAGACACAGTGTTAATTTAATCTACGAAAATATTTTCATGATAGTTTTTGTCAGCTGCATGTTTTCAGTGATGAAAACTAAGGGAAAATAAAATTCACGACTAAAACAAAAATGGCATTTTAGTTAAAAGACTAGGACTAAAACTAAATGGAAATTTGATGTCAAAATTAACAGTGGTCATAAAGCAATATTTAGGATCCTTTTATGAGGCTGTGCCCTTCTGCTACCATTCAGTGGCCCCTTTTTTCCCCTTTTGATTGCAACAAAGTATTGTACGAATGGTGGCTAAAGAACCTCGATCAATTTCCAGACAAATTCAAACTGACCTTCAGGCATAGGGTATATCTGTGTCAGCTTGCACTATACGTCCCCATCTGAATGAAAAGGTAAGATACCATGGAGGATGCCGCTGCTGACACAGAAACATAAAAAAAAGCCAGATTGGAGTTTGCCATAACTTACCTGAGGAAGCCAAAATCCTTTTGAGAAAATGTGCTGTGGACAGATTAAACAAAATTACAGCTTTTTGGTAAAGCCCATCATTCTATTGTTTTCAGAAAAAGCAATGAGGCCTGCAAAGAAAATATTACAGTCCCTACAGTCGAACATCATGGAATTTCACTGATGTTTTGGGCTGCTTTGCTGCTTCAGGCACTGGATGCCTTGACCGTGTACATTGCATTATAAAATCTGAAGACTACCAAAGAATTCTGTGGTGCAATGTAGGGCCCAGTGTCAGAAAGTTGGGTAAGAGGCCATGGTCCTTACAGCAGGACACTGACCCAAAGCACACATCAAAAAGCAACCAGAAATCGTTTCAGACAAAGAGCTGGAGAGTAATGAACTTGCCAGCAATGAGTCCAGATCTCAGTCCCATAGAAAACCTGTGGAGAGATCTCCAAACAGCAGCTGGGAAAAGGAACCATTCCAATCTGAGAGACCTGGAGCAGTTGGCGAAAGAGTGGTTCAAAATTCCAGTAGAGAGGTGTAAGAAACTCACTGATGGTTACTGGGAGCAATTGATTTCAGTTATTTTTTCCAAGGTGTGTGCTATTAAATAATAAATTGAAGGTGCCAATAATTTTGTCCAGTCCATTTTGGGGTTTTTGCATGGGATGTGTCAGATTTGGCTTTTTGTTTCTCCACTTTTTTGTTTCATACCAATACAAACAAAAGAAATAAACATGGGAATGCCTAAACATTTGTAATTGCAACAATTTTCTGGGTGAAGTGGTGCATTATCTAACAGAAATGCAGGGGTGCCAATATTTTTGGCCATGACTGTATATCTCTTATATGTATGGGTATGCATATGTTTGCCTTTTATGGCTATGTGTGTACCTTTTGGTTCATCGTGGACATTGTTCTTTTGTACCTCAATATTTGGAAAACTTAATAAAACGAGATTAAACATAATAAACACCCAATAGCCCCTCACTCTGCATTAGTGTGAACCCATTGCCATTCCTACATTTTCATAGTGACAGGACCTTGCACTGTTACAGAGTGTAATATGAAACATGATCCAAAAGCTGTACCTAGCCTTTAAAGTGAATGTATAGCCAAGAACATTTATAGCATAGGAAGGACTGTTCCCACTACGTTCACTGTCTCTATTTGTCCTGTGTCTGTGACAAATTTTTCAAATGGGGTGACACCTTTTTCAATTACAACTGCCTAAGATAGAATTACCTTTACTTACTAGAGATTTCCTCTTACTTCCTGTTGCATCTCTGGGATAGGAAGTGGAGGGAAATCTTTCCAACGGCACATATAGCACATGTAATAAACTGATAGGGCTTTTAACACTTCTCTACTCTATTCAACACTTTCTTTGGTTAGATTTTCTGTTTTATTTCCAGAAAAGCTGAGTATTTATTCCTAAAATTACACAAATGAAGACATCTGGAAAAAAAATTCCTAAAAACCCACCATTGGGCAAAAAAACACCTTTACACATTATATATGGAAAAACATGCTGTCACAATTATTGAGCACATAAGTAAATGATACCCATTTGCATAGAAGAAATTCACCATCTAATATTTCACATCTGTGTTTTAATAAATGCTGATCAGATATCATGAATTTCAAAACATCAGATTCCTGTTTTAATGCCGAGAAAGCCTGATTTCCAAAATACATTTTCATATTTTGCCTTGTGTACAATAACACCGCAAGGGTGATATTTCCATGCATTAGGCCTACATTACAATTACAACAATTAAACTATCCCTTAACAAATGTAGTTCATTCAATTTACATGAGCCAAAAATTTTTGGATGCTGTATGGCAAACACTGAGCAAAAGAAAAAAAACCCTACAAAGTTATATATACTAGAAAAGTCCAACTTGAGGAAATTTTTTAAGGAGCCCTAGGCAGTGTTTAAAGCTGATGTTTAGGTATGAATTTTTTTAATTTGACTGGATGAGGTGGAGATCAGGATTTCATTGCCCCACCTCTTCTTCTCCATCAATGAATGCCTTGAAAAAAATTAAAGGCATTCTGTGACTGGTGGCAGTGCCGAGCAGGCAACCCCCGGTGCTTACTATGCATACCTAAACTTCATTTAAAAGATAAAACAAAAATTGATCTGGCTGCAGTATTCACCTTCTACCTTGAACTGTCCTCTGCAGTAATTCCTTTCCAACGATTGATGTCCTTATCATCTGTTGTACTCGTTCTTTAATGTTAAAAAGATATACAGATGTATTCATGCAACTTCTTACATTCTTGTGAGTGTCAGTAACATACCTCACCATTTACAGTTTCACATCCAGCTGTCCTCTCTGTCTAAAATGTGC